TTTGAGGGATTTCGATTTGGGATTTCTATATCTGGACAGATTTCTAACTAGAGAGTAGCGATTTTAGGTTTCAATTAGGGATTTCTAGCTATAGAGGACGAATTTTGGGCGTTTCACTGTTCTTGACATCGAGACGAAGTGCTCGAGATGAGAGTGTTCTTCACTTCTGTCTTTGGAGTCTCAAGCCTTTAGTGTTTCTTTTGTTATTTTAATTGCTAGTTTACTTTTTTTAAAAGGTAATAGGAGCGACCCGGTCGCTGCAATTCATATTTAGCGGCGACTTTGCAATAGTCGCCACAATAAATATGGAGCCAAAATTTTAGTTTTAGCGGGAGTGAAAATTTTAGCCACTTTAGAGGCGACCCATAAATAATCACTGCTAAATATATTCAAACTATGGCGACTTTTAAAGTCGCTACTGATAATATACATTTTGTAGCAACTTATAAGGTTGCTGCTAAATGTCGCCACTAATTATCCAATTTCTTGTAGTGGGAAGTGGACGTGGAACAAATTCTAATGGTGGTAGATATACCTATGGTGGGTGTGGCAGAGGACGCAACAACAATGGCTACCAAAGAAGTTATTCCACTGCTCCTCCCCTGTTTACTCCACGCCAAAGGGCTCCTTCCATTTTAGGTCCAACGCCACACTCTACTATTTCTTCCGTTTATGTTACTTATCCATTTCCTTCTTCCTTTCAATGTGAGTTATTGTCATGACCCCAAATACCCCAATCGTGATGGCGCCTATCACAGTACTAGGTAAGCCAATCCAACATTTACACCACATCGAATTTCCTTTTGTAAATTCATTTTTCTAAAAACAGTTTAAGTCTCAAATTCTTTATATGTAATATATAAACCAACAAAAATATGCGGAAAACCAATACAAAACATACTAACACAGCCCGAATCTGGTGTCACTAGTCATGAGCCTCTAAGTACAACCTAACACTGTCTGAACAATACATAATATGTCTAAAAATAACAGAATAATAAGATAGGAAGGAGGAAGGCAGTGCTGCGAACGCCGTGCAGCTACCTTGCGATCTCCGAATACGACTCTGAAAGTGCTGGAAGCTCTCACTCTGATGCTCGGGCACCTGGATCTGCACACAAGGTGCAGGGAGTAACGTGAGTACGCCAACTCAGTAAGTAACTAAGTAAATCAAGTCTGAGTGCCGCGACGAGCATTTAAAATCATATATGAAATCTCAATAGAAATATCAAGTCAAAGCTGCAGTTCAATAATCAATTATCTCATAAAACTCCAGTTTCAATTAAAATCCTTTAAGGCATTTATTCAATATTTTTCAACAGAGGTTCAGTATAAAGGAAGAGTGAAAACAGCAAAATGTCATAAACAAGCCCCTCGGGCAAGGTATCACTCATAAGTTTAGCCTCTCATGCAAGCCTCTCAGTCACTTGTGACTTAGCTCTCGCCATTCGGTACTCACACTCAGCACTCCGGCTCAATAGATATCTCATAATAATAATAATAATAGTAATAACCGTTGCGGCGTGCAGCCTGATCCATAGTTTATAGTCGACTACGCACACTGGGGGTGTACAGACTCCAGAGGGGCTCATACAGCCCAAGCATCAAATCGCTGCAGCGCGGAGCCCGATCCAATACATATCGCTGCGGCGTGCAACTTGATCCATATAAGTATCGCTGCGTCGTGCAACCCGATTCATAATATACATATATAATATCGCTGCGGTGTGCAACCCGATCCATAATGTATATATAATCCTCACCATTAGGTCCTCAACCTCTCTCAGTCATTAACCTCATGGCCACTCGGGCATATCGGTGAGAATCAGGGAACTCAGACCAAACAATTTTCATATATTAAGAAGTATAGTAATGAAACCGAATTTTAATCAATAAACAGGTAAAACATGACTGAGGATATGCTTTAAAATCAAGTAGAGTGAGGAAAGTAGTAAAAATACCCCTAAGGGTCTAAACATGTCGGCACAAGGACCCAAACATGGCGTACAACCCAAAATATAGTATAAGTCTCTAAAATACGGAATATCATAAGATTTTAAATCAAATACGCGGCTTAATAGCCAAGGTCACAATCCCTACCGGTGCACGCCCACACGCTCGTCACATAGCATGTGTGTCACCTCATTTATCAAAACAATACGGAATACCTGGGTTTCATACCCTCAGGTCCAGATCCACAATGGTTACTTACCTCAAACCGGATAAAATACTTTGGAAATTCTAGTGTGCTTCAGAGATTGGATAAGATCAGAACGGCGAAATCAAGGGCGTGACAAGGTAGACGAAGCGGAGGACCAAGAAATTGGAGATATAATGATTTATGGTTCCGATTCAACCAGTGCCGAAAATCAAGAACCTCATGTTGACATGGAAGAACTTACAAAAATGATGCAAAGCATGTGATGTATTATTTCTTATTTCTTATAATTGTTGCAAGCTTTTAATTTGCAAGTTCAAAAATTAAAAAAATCGAAAAAGAACTTGCAAATTAATTTGAAGTATTAAAAATATAAAATGAAAGCCTTCGGAGTTTGGTCCTTACATATTGCCTATTGGTCTTATTAAATAATTTTTTTTTTAGCCACTTACTTTCTAATTTCAATTTTAACATTTTAAAATTTAAAGCTTTAATGTTTAATTCTAAGCCTTAAAAGTTTGCAAACACTTAAGTATCAATAACATTGAACAAGAAAAATAAAATTTTATATACACACACACACACACACACACACACACACACACACACACGTACATACTAGCCCGACCCGCCCGAACCCGTACGGGCCCAAAATAACCCGAAAATGTCCAACCCACCAACAGCCCGTTATCCCAGCCCGCTAACCAACCTGGTCCGTTAACGGACGGGCTGGGTTTTTTTTGTTCAGCCCGTCCCAGCCCGACCATTAAACACCTATAGTTTTAATGCATGCATTAGTTTAGTTAAAGACAAAATTTTCCTTCAAAATTTATGCTTGATTAAAATATGCTAGTTATTATATTAATGCAAGTTTATTTAAAATAATTGAAATAGTGAGAAATAAAATTATATCTCTAGTAAATAAATAAATGCCTAGCATAATTCCTTTTTTATAAATGTATATTTAGTTCTATATTACAATATAGGTATGCATATCAAATAATTTTTTTTAAACTTTTTCATATAGTAATGTTTCCCAACATATGTTTCTTTTAAAAAGTTAGAGTGATGGACTGGTTTTGAGGGCATTTTTGTAAACAAGCAATTCCTTTAAAAATTGCAATGCTTTAATATATCAAACCAAACAATGGATAAGAAATATGTCAGCATAACTAATGCAAGCATAACTAATACCAGCATTACTAATACACTAGCATTATTCTTATGCACTCTACCAAACGGCGCCTTATATTTTGGCCCTACATGAATTCTAACATTATCAACGATTGTATGTCCCTCTTCGCTAAGCTTGGAATGCTAGTTATGAAGCTTATATCTAAAGAAGGAAACAAGGTGGCCTATAATAACTTCCAATGTATAGTAATAGTAGAAATAATATTTTTGAGGGCTTAGCTTAATGTTGTATAAATCACTGTCAACATATACTATCCTCTTTTAATGATTGTACAGGTGTCATGTATCCAAGCAACTATGTATTAGCTATTGTAGTTGCGAGCGGAATTTGGATAAAGGGATTTAAAAAAGTTACTAGACTGTCACACTTGGGATATAAACTTGTGACCTAAAGCAATTTTTGAACCCCTTTGCCATTACACTAGAATCTTTCCTTAGGTCAACGAATTCAATATTCTTTGGTATACTGTATATTGGTATCTCATAATTAGTGTTGAATCATGATAGACTTTGTTAGAGTACGTTAAATGGTATACCCAATATTTTTGGTAAACTACAGACTGATATATCATAATTACTGTTGAATCTCGATAATTTTACTATTCTTAGTATACTTACATTTGATATACCATAATTATCATAGTATACCAAATTTTAGGATTCACCAAGAAAGAACAAAAAAAAAAAAAGATAAAAAAGAGTGACAAGTTTTTTATTTAAAAAAAGCCTTAACTTATTTCTTTAAAAATTTCAAAAAACTCATATCCAAATACAAAATACAAAAATCAAAAAGAGTGACAGCGTAACCATCGTTAACCATAATAATAGATTGATGATTTTTTAGGAAGAATTTCAGTACTAATATTAGGACTAGGTTATTTATCTAAAAAGAACAAAAATAAAAAAGGAATAAAGTGTTAAAAATTTTAATGGAAAAACATAATATAAAAAATTAAGATAAAAAATAATAATTGTAAGGAAAAAAAGCGACAGATGTTTTGTACTAACAGATTTTATTTTAAAAAATAAATTTATTAGAAAACTACAAAAAAGAATATTATCTACAAAATATTAAAAAAAAATCCAAAAAAATCAAAAAAAGTAATATGGTAACTCTCGGTAATCATAATCGAAGCCTAGGTATAGAAAGGAGGCAACCTGATCTTAAAACTGTCACATTCCCAACTGAACTAGGAAATAGATGGCCATCTATTTATAGTTTCATTGCAGCTCAAAATTTATTAGGTTATTCCTGTTTTCGTTGTTTTGTATTACTCGTCTCTCCAAAAATTAACTCAAAGAACGTTATTGTCCCCCACTTTGTTAACCATGTTCTTTAGTTATTAATCAAAGAAAACATGAGTAATCTGACACATCATTCTTCTTCATATTATCATCGCAATCATCGACGTCCGAGACAAGTCAATGATCATTCTTCTAGACGACATTACAGATCAGTTCAAATCCACGGGCAAATTATCCGTCGTCTCGGCCTGTTTCAAGAAACGTAGAACAATTTTCTATTCCTAGGGTTGATGATGAATCCATGACTCGGCAAAACCTGAATGAAAACACAATTTTTCCATATAGGTATGGAATTAACATAACTAACTTGAGCGAACGTTCTTTAGTGGATATGGTCTTACAGCCAGCTGCCGCAGATAACCTGCATGGCCACTCCCAAGATAGGAGCTATCCGCCGTATAATCATAGTTCTCAGTCAACAAGTGATCCCTCTCGGTTCATCAGAACGTTTGCTAGTCCTGTCAACTCCTTCCGTAGTGATCATCTGAGTACTGGCATTGATTTTGACTCTATGTATGATCTACTTGATCTTGATCATCATCTGAGTACCGGCTCTGAATTTGACTCTGTGTATGATCTAACTGATCCTGAGGAGGGTGTTATATTGAAGTATTTGAAAACAAGAATACATCGTGCTCCTGTGCCCAAAGATGAAGTTAACCCCATGAAAACTGAAGTAATTACCGATAAAGAACCAGAAATTTGTTCTATATGCCAAGCTGAATATGAAGACGAAGAGACCATAGGGACACTTCAGTGTGGGCATGAGTATCATATGGACTGCATCAAACAATGGATAATGAGGAAGCAAGATTGTCCCATGTGCAGAGCTTCAATTTTTCCTTCACAACATTAACATATACTGGTTAACTTGTCACAAAAACTTGACATGGTTGTCATTTAATAGCATGTAGAGATTATTTTATTTTAAATTCTTGTACCAATGTGAAGTTTTCTTTTTCTTTTGCAAGATCAATTTAATTGGGGACTTGGTTGTGTACACTATTTTAAAATTCGTATCGTTAGATTAGACTTGGTTAGACAAGTTGTTTTAGGACAATTATTTCGAGTCCATTAGCAAGGCATGAAAATGATCACCATGTATTTTATGTTTCCACTAAGAAGATATATTTAGCCAACAACTTTTCCAACTACCTAACGGTATAATCAGGAATACATATGGAGTAGTACTTATATCATATAATCAAACCGAAAGAAAGACTCCATGTTATATATAGAGTTATACTACTGATGGCTCTTTAGGTATAAGTTCAGCTTACGAAATCATTTTATCCCAATACAATAACTTACCATTTTCATGATCAAAACAATAGGTCTAATTTACATGCATTTTTTAGTCAAAATTACATACATTTGGAAATGGAGAACTCTTAATAAGATTAATCAAGTTCTTTCTCGGTCTTGCCAGCCATAACACACTGTTACGTTTTTATTAAAGGGGTGTGAATGAGAAATGAAAGATGCACCTTTAGGAGTGCACCTCTTCATATCACCTTTCTATGTCTATAAATTTAGAGGCTTGGCCTCATTTTTCAAATATGGAAAATCTGAAATCTTCTCCCCTCTTTTATACATTGTTGCATTATTTTCTAAATAAACATAAGAGTCAAGTGTGATTTGCTCAGTTTGTTGAGTTCGCTGAAGTTCTATGATTTGAAGTGCCGCTATCACAGAATAGTTATTCCGTTCTATCCTGAGAGGAATTAATCTGTATACCTTGGGCTACAGTGAGGGAATTAAATTCCTTAAGGACACACTGTGAATTTAGTGGGCTCGGAATTATTTTACGATTTGTTTATTGAACTAACGTTTGTTTGATTCTCTGATTTTCTGATTTTGAACACAGTAATACCAACAATCTTAAGGAATTTATTAATGATTAAAAGATGGTATCAACTACCGCGTGCGGCACATTTTCGCTGAAATATGCGAACGTCGCTTTCATGAATACAAAGCGGTGTCTCTGTGCATTAAGTGAAAGGAAATCGATTTTCTAGTACTGATGAACGAAGATTGTGCCTATCCTAAGATAAGAATGTGAAGATTCCAAAAAATGAAGGGTAAAAATTTAAATATGCTTCTCAAATTGGACCTTGAAAAGGTCTTCGACAAATTAGAATGGTTGTTCATACATAATACTTTAGTCACCCTAATCCCCCCAACTTTTACTAAATTAATTATATCTTGCATAACAACTACATCTACTTTAATTCTTATTATTGGAAACCCTACTGAATATTTCATACCCACGAGACGCATAAGACAGGGTGACCCTTTGTCACCTTATCTGTTTATCCTCTGCCTTGAAATGCTTTCACGCACAATAAATACAACAGTTGATTACCATACTTGGGTACCACTCTCTCTTGCTAAAAGGGGACCTCAACTATCTCACTTATTTTTGCTGACGATGTTATTCTAACAGCAAAAATTACACCCAACACTTGTAAATTAATTGTTAGTACTATTACTCACTTTACACATCACTCTAGCCAAACTATCAACTTTGATAAATCAAAAATTTGTTTCTCAAAAAATTGCACAACCAATACAAGAACATCCGTACTACAACTCTTCCATATGAATGAAGGAAAAAATTTGGTAGATATTTAGAATTCCCTATCTTTACATAGAAACCATCAAAAATGGATTACTAATTCTTACTTGACAATTTCAAAAATAAATTAGCAGGTTGGAAAACCAATTTTCTATCATAAGTAGGAAGGACAACATTAGTTCGTTCTACTTTAAACCACATTCCTAATTACCACATGCAATACATTACAATTCCTAACTATATACTATCCTACTCACTCGCTACCAATGAAATTTTCTATGGGGTACAACTCCACAAAAGAAAAAAGTACATCTCATTAAGTGGAATAAGTAACACAAACTTTAGATCAAGGAGGCCTAGGGATACAAAACCTAGTTACAAAGAATAAAGCCTTACATGAAAGTCTTGCATGGAGACTGCTTCAAAATTCACATCAACTTTGGGCACCGGTACTCCTACACACTTATTTACGCCCACAACACTTAATCAAAAGAAATGTCTCCTCCACTTGGCGGAATATAATGCGTGGATGGTCCTACTGCCGTTTAGAATGTAAATGGAACCTTACTACTGGTCAACATATCAAATTTTGGTCTAATCCTCGGATTAAACAAAATTTTACAATTCGCACTTGCATAACTGGACCTCTCCCACGTCATGAGGAGCAAAAACTTGTCTCTGACTACTACTACAATCACAAATTGCATTTTGAGAAATTACCTTTAATACTACCTACTAACTTAAAAACCCCTTTCACAGATATATACATGCCTCTATCACCCATAACCTACGATCAAATTTATTGGGCTCTTACAACAAATGGCATTTTCTCCGTAAAATCTGTCTACATTTCTCTAACAAATACCTAACTTCACATTACTCCTATAAGTGGATTTGGAAACTCCCCATTCCACCAAAAATATCTTTCTTTCTTTAGTTACTTTGTTACAACAGACTTCCAACTGCTACGTATCTCTCACGATTAGGTATCCTCACTTTGCCTATATGTACACAATGTCATATGGCTCCCGAAACAATAATTCATATCGTTCTAGAATGCCGTAATGCAATTCAGCTATGGGTTGACCTCAACTTATCATTTCCAACTCAAAGCTATACTACATAACAAACTGATAATACACATTGGTTATATAACTTTATCCATACACCATTATCATCCACTCCTCATAAAATTCCGTCTACAACATTTCTACCTTTTGCACTATGGCATCTTTGGATTATAAGGAACAAGAATACTTTAGATCATAAAAGAATTCCTTTAAATATTCCCTTAATACTAAATATGACAGCTGAATATTACCTTTTAACATATCAAAAACTAAAAAACAAATTTGTAACACCTCTATACATCAAATGGCATCCAGCAAATGCTACTAACTACAAACTAAACATTGATGGGTCTTGCTCATCTACCCAGCAAAAATATGGTATTGGTGGAGTTTTTCGAAACCACCAAGGCAACTGGTTCATGGGTTTTGCCGGCAAATCAAACCTAGGTACAAGTGTTCAGACAGAACTCCTTGAACTACTCATGGGGCTGAAACTTGTTGTGCAACAACATATCAAACCCATCATCATTGAGATAGACGCACATGGAATCATCGGTATGTTTAATTCAACTACTATGCACTACACTAATATCATTAACGATTGCAGGTTATTACTTTTACAGCTGGATAGCCCTCCTATATAACATATCTATAGAGAGCAAAATTGTGTTGCAGATAGTTTAGCCAAACATGGAGCCATGCATGCACATGAGAGCTGCATACTTTTTGGAAAACCACCATCTTTTGCAGAGCCTTCTTACCAGTGAGATCATAACAGAACACTTCAAAGCAGGCTCGTTAAATTCAGCTCCAGTAACTCAACACAACAGCTCTCTGCTAAAACTACTTTGTGTAATAGTAATATTCTATCTAGTACTAACTATCTCTCTAGTAATGATTCCCATACGGAGGTCTTTGTAGTAAATTCTAATATTCCAAGCTTAGTGACTATGATGCCTCTCATGCATCTTGTAAAATGTACTCATGTACCTGTTTAGTTCCCTATAATATAAGTACTTTCCGACAAAAAAAAAAAAAGAAGAATGTCATGGTTACAAAGTTTTGTGTATTAAAAAGCCCACGTGACTTTATGACTTTATTGTTCATCATTCTTCTTAAAGGTTGGGACAACATTGTCAATTCTCTATGGTTTAGTTATATGGTTGCCATGTGAAGGTGCTTTAAGGCAGAGATGAGAATTAGTATTGATAAATTCTTTCATATTCCGCACTATTTATTTTATGACATTATTTTCATATAATTAATGACTACAATCATTATGGGATGATCATAAGCTGATAGAGTAGTCCTTTTATCGGTTCTTAAAGCACCGTCACTTACAAGGGAAGTTAGATGACATGAAATTTAAGTTCAAAATTTTAGGAAGTTTGGAAAAGGCCAAATAAAAAATGGTGACTTGTTCTGTGTATCTGCCAACAAACCCATTTGGTTCGCGTTGGAAAAGAATCAATTTTGATGATGAAGAATCAAGGGGTGCAAAGAATAAGTTTTGAGACCCAGTTGCCTGAAAATCTTCAGGGCAATTACTGCCTAGTAGGAATTGAGTTAGACCTCGATAATATTGATATTTCAAGGAAAACATAAGAGATGATAAAAGAAAAATAGTGCCGAATGAAACTGTCTCGGGGGAATACAATAGAGTAATGTTTTCTATTTTCTCTCACTCAAACTTATAATGTTTTCTCCTTAATATTTTATCCTTTGTGATTTGTTAATTAAGTTTCTACAAATGTTAGGATAGTTGTTTATTATGTGATGATCTTATAATTTATATTTGTTAGCATGCAATAAAATTAGTTAGTTGGTATATAACTTTGATAGCATGCTTAAAATTATGTGAAATAATATTTTTTCAAGATTGTAAGACATGAATTAGTCTTACACTAACTCTTGAAATATTTTGAGAATCATAATATATGTAAAGGTGTACATATATTTGTTTGATTAGTGTATGCGGCTGAAACCGGAAAGACCAATTTCAAGATCGACGAGGCATTACGTAATTTTACTTCGAAGGGCCCGGAGAATAGCCCTGGGTTCGAAGTCTTCGAGGGTTCTTCGTGCCCGGTATTGGGGCAGAATGAACAAGTGGTTACCGCAAGAAAGCGGGAAGTTGCCTAGGAGCAGTATTTTTCTGACAATGCCTGCACAAACAGTGACACCCATGCCAGGCTGATTGAGTGGTTGTACCGGCTATTTTATGCAATAGTTACGCATGTGCCATATTGGGATTTCCCCCTCATATATAAAGGGGATCCTTGTCATTTTGTAAGGGGGGGATATATACAACACACAATATGCAATATAAGAACATTCTCTCTGCTCTCTAACTTAAACTTACTATCTTGATTCTAACATTTACATTTATTGCTTGTATTCATTGTGTTCTATTTATTGTTCTTCATTTATTGCTCATTATTGGTCATAAAAGGCTTCCATCAAAGCTGTCATAACTGTTAATCCTCCATCGACTGCCCTCGGCAGGGCATCCGGCTCGACCTCGGGGCCCCTGATTTCCCGCCATTCAGTTTGGTTATTACGCCGTTTTCAAGCTATTATCTTATTTTCTAGTCTTTCACTTAGCATCTATTACCTAACAACTAGCATAAAAATAGATCACATATTTTTAGAACCATAAAATCAAATTTAATTGTTATTACTATTTTCAAGGTAAACAGTTTGGCGGCCACCGTGGGGTTAAGAATAAAAGTGATCGTTTTCCTGCTGGTTTAATACATAACGTAAGTTATCTTTCACGCTTTTTCTTGTCCAAGAATCTTTAATTTCAGGTCAAAATGTCTAACTCAGTAAACGCACATGACAACAACGGTCTCAAAGGCCGTAGAGAGTATGGTGTAGCTGTTCCAAGTAATGGTCTGCCACCACAAGACCCTGAGGTTGCACCAGAACCGATTCCCGTCGATATGGTCTCATGCAACACTCAACACATTGGTGTAAGTTCCCACACGGACAGGAGTATACGCCGAGGAAATCAGCAAGACACTCGGAAAAACCTCACCCGGGAAGAATGAGAGGCAAATAGGGGAAGCAAAGCGGTAAAACCTCAACACATCGTTCATATGAGTATCGGGGGGATCGTCATCCCCCAGGGGCCCGTGATAAAGCGGATAAAGGTTTCTGCGACAACGCGAGGACAAACCCGGGGCCGCGCATCCAAGGACATCCTCGCGTTCAGCGAAGAAGACTTCGAGACTCTGTCTCATCCATGCAACGATGCGCTGGTAATCTCGTTTCTCTTAAATAACTTCCAAATTAAACGTGTACTCGTGGACCCAGGTAGCTCGGCGAACGTAATTAGATCAACGGTGATAGAACAGCTCGGATTACTCGATCAGGTCATACCTAGCTCCCGAATCCTCAACGGCTTCAATATGGCCGGCGAAGCAACAGAAGGAGAGATCACCCTCCCGATTAACATATCCGATGCAGTTCAAGATACCAAATCCCACATCATTAAAGGTGATGCGAGGTACAATGCCTTGCTCGGTAGGCCATGGATACATAACATGAAGGCGGTACCATCGACCCTGCATCAGGTGATGAAGTTTCCAACAAAGGACGGAATAAAGACAGTATACGGAGAGCAACATGCGGCTGAGTAAATGTTTGCGGTCCATGAAGAGGTACCGAATTCTGTACACTCTGCCTCAGAAGAGTTGGAAAGCCAACAAACCCCCGAGGATGATGAAGAGGATATCCTCGCTCCCAGAACCTTCATTGCCCCCAAAAAATCGGATGCAACAAATCGACTATCGAATAGCTGGATCAAGCCGTATTGTTCGAGCATCTCCCGGATCGGAAGGTATACATGGGACGGGATTAACCCCCGAACTCAGGAAAAAACTCATTCAATTCCTTATTAACAACATCGATTGCTTTGCTTGCTCCCATTTAGACATGACAAGGATCCCACCGGAGATAACTACCCATCGACTAAGAGTCGACCCCAGGTACAAACCGGTGAAGCAAAAACGGAGACCGCACTCCGCGATAAAGCATGCATTCATCAAAGACGAGGTAATGAAGCTCCTCAAGATAGGGTCTATTAGGGAAGTAAAATATCCCGAATGGCTGGCCAATATGGTGGTAGTTCCCAAAAAGGGGAATAAACTAAGAATATGCGTAGATTATAAAGATCTAAATAGGGCGTGCCCAAAGGACTCGTTCCCACTGCCCAACATCGATCGTTTGATCGATTCCACGGCCGGCTATGAAACCCTCACTTTCCTCGATGCCTATTTGGGGTATAATAAAATTAAGATGAACTCCGAGGATAGAGAAAAGACTTCATTCATCATGAAGTACGGTACGTACTGTTACAATGTAATGCCCTTCCGGCTAAAAAATGCAGGGGCCACACACCAACGCCTAGTTAATAAGATGTTCGAACATCAAATAGGCAAGTCCATGGAAGTTTATATTGACGACATGCTAGTTAACTCCCTGTGCGCAGAGGACCATTTGATCATTTGCAGGAAACACTCGACATCCTCAGAAGTTACAACATGAAACTTAATCCCAAGAAGTGCGCCTTCGGGGTAGGATCGGGCAAATTCTTAGGTTTTATGGTATCAAACAGAGGAATCGAGATCAACCCCGACAAAACCAAAGCCATCGAAGAAATTACGGTGGTAAATAACATAAAAGCCCTGCAGCGGCTGACCGGGCGGATAGCAGCCTCGGGCCGGTTCATATCAAGGTCGTCGGACAGGAGTCCCCATTACTTCTCCTTCCTCAAAAAGAAAAACAACTTTGAATGGACTCCGGAATGCCAACGCGTTAGAGGAGTTGAAGCGATACCTTACAAGCCCGCCTTTGCTCCACACCCCAAAAGAGGGTGAGACATTTATTTATACCTGGCCGTATCCGAGATAGCGGTAAGTGGTGTACTGGTTCGAGAAGACAAGGTAAACAATTCCCTATTTATTATGTAAGTCTGACCCTGGGTGATGCCGAAACAAGGTATCTGCACCTGGAAAAACTAGCTCTTGTATTAATAAGTGCTTCTCAAAAATTGAAACCTTACTTCCAATGCCATCATATTTGCGTTTTAACAACGTATCCCCTTCGAACATATTGCATAAACCTGAATTATCGGGCTGACTGGCCAAATAGGCCATCGAACTCGGGGAATATGATATCGAGTATCAACCCCAAACGACTATCAAGTCTCAGATTTTGGCAGACTTAGTAGCCGATTTCACTCCCTCCCTTATTCCTGTAACGACCCGACCGGTCGTTTCGAGAATTTAAGCTCCGATCAGCGGTGTAAGGTCTGGAACAACTTCATATTATGTGTATCGACATGCGTGCATGGTTGAATTCAGTTAACGGATGATTCAGAGTCGAATTGGAAGAAGGATTATAGTTTTGGAAGCTTGAACGATGAGAATTTGACCGGAATTGGATTATTAAGTAAATGGCCCCGGAATGAATTTTTGATGATTCCAACAGCTTTGTATAGTGATTTTAGACTTAGTCGCGCGTCCGGATTCAGATTTGGAGGTCCGTAAGGTAATTTGAGGCGTTTCGGCTAAAGTTAGAAAAATGGATGGAAATTTGAGAAGTTTGACCCATAGTTGAATTTTGTGATATCGGGGTCGGAATGCGATTCCGAGAGATGGAGCAGCTCCGTTATGTCATTTTGGACTTGTCTGCAAAATTTGGCGTCATTCCGAGTTGATTTGATTGGTTTCGGCACAAGTTTTCAAAGTTGGAAGATTGG